AACACTAATATTAGTGTTTAAGCCTTTTTATTATATCCTTACTCTGTCCTAGACATTGAGTTCTACCTGGATCCTTCCTCTTGGAAAATTTTTTCTGAAAATATACATGTATGGGAATTTTTTAGATATATTTTTCATATGTATGTATATTTTCCACTAATATTATCTATATATATATATATATATAGTTATATGTATATATGGGTGTATAAATGTGTATGTGTGAGTATGTGGGTACATGTATATGTGTGGATGTGTATGTATACAATTTTTTATAATTTCTATATATGTATGTGTGGGTATGGGTATGTATATATAGATGGGTACATGTATGTCGTTCCATAGATAGTGTATGTATATGAGTATAAATATAAGTAGTTGTGAGTTCATATATATAATATGGTAAAATATACATATATTAAGGTATTTAAGTATGGATTTTGATATGTTTTTTGCATGCACGCACATGTGGGTGTATATATGTATATTTGTGTGTATATGTGTGTATATGTGTATATGTATATGTGTGTGTATATGTGTATATATGTGTATATGTGTATATATATGTGTGTATATATGTGGGTATATATGTGTAATTGTATGTGTATATATATGTGTGTATATATGTGGATATATGTGTGGGGACATGTAATTGTGTATGTATGTATGTGTGTGTGTATATCCATATGTGAATGTGTGTATGTATGAGTATATACATACACACATATATATGTGTGTGTGTGTATGTGTGAATATATGTATATGTAAATGTGTATGTATGTATGTATGTGTGTGTATACATACACATATATATGTGTGTGTGTATGTGTGAATATATGTATATGTAAGTGTGTATATATGTGTATGTGTATATCTATATGTGAATGTGTGTATGTATTATGTATGATTATATACATACACATATATATATGTGTGTGTATATGTGAATATATGTATATATATGGATATGTATATGTATGTGTGTATGTGTACGGATATGTGTGTATGTGTATAGTTATGGATACATAGAATATTATAAAAGAAGGACTTACAGTCCTGTTATTAGTGTTTTATCTCATTTTCTCATTTAATATTCTCCAATTGGAAGTGTGAGTTTAAAATTCTTTATAATAGGGAGAAAAAAATTTTAAATTGATAATTTAATTTAAATTGAAATATATTACCCTTTAATAATCATTATTGATGATAAAATATTTAAATTGGAAAAATTTTTGATATTTAGGTAGATGTTAATACATGAAGTTACCTGTGTATTTCGGCACATGGGTACTTTATGAGTGACTGAACATGTAAAGGAACGTGTGTATATGTGATATTTGCATGGGTGTGTATACAGTATATGACAGAGCATGATCTTTAATATTACCTTCAAATATTACCCCATACTAACTTAACTGAAATTTAAGTAAAAGAGATTACCTATCTAGAAACAGTCACAAGTTAAATTCATGAACAAAATTCAAACGGATAGAGATGTCAACTTAATAATCAATAAAAAAAATTTTTATATTTTAAAATAAAATTTTGTACTTTCTATGAATATTTTTCTAATCGACTATTTCATAGAAAATCCCCAAAATTTAAAAAAAAAAAAATTAAATCACTAACAAACATCAAATTAAATTATTTGTAGACAGTCTAGAGACATTCAAATTTATATCAAACATTAATCTTTATGAACCCCCAAAATAACACTTTTAAAGTAAAACAAAATAACAGCGTCTGTTTCTAGCTTTTTTTCCAATGAAAATTAGTGACACCTTCTCTCTTAACTTCCTTCTCTCTTTTTCTCTCTATGAGTTTTTTTCTCCTCTACCCTTTCGGTTTCAATATATAACTTCCGTTAAGTTAACCGTTTAAATGTGTCAATATCTGCTAACTCACTCATGTCTTCTCTTTCTCTCCCCCCTCACTTCCTCACTTCGTTAATTTACATATGTTTGATACGGCCCGTCAAAAATGTGTAAATTTTCTTTTCATTTTTTGTTTGGAAGTAAAGTCTGATGATCCGCAGTCCTTTTAAAAGGGCTGTGGCGAAATAATTTATTACATGGCACCTTAAAGTGGTCTGTTTTTATTTAAATTATTTGCTCTGGATTTACATTGAGCTCTCTGGATTTTATCCTCCTTAGATTTACCCATACGGATTACCTAGTTTTTCATAAACTATATATATATATATATATATATATATATGTTTTGTTGAATTGAATAATATAGACAAGTTTAGTCTACTTATTTTCAATTGGATCCTTTCATTTTCACGGACAAGCTTTTGGGTGTCATTTGGAGAAAATCGTCGTATTATTTTATTCTGAATACTTTCGACATAGCACAATGTCATCATCTGGGTGTAGTCTAATTTAAGACCAATATTGTAGTGTTCATCATTTTCAAAGGCAAAATTGCTGTGTTCATCTGAAAGTTAATTTTTTTACTTGTCAAATAAAGAACGCTGAGACAGTGCGTGAGAGTTTTTTTTTTAAGAAACTAATAGTAAAAACTATTAGTGCAAACTTTGATATTTTAAACTATCTGTTGAACACATTTTAAAACATTTGTGCAGTATTCATAATTAATTTTATTAAGGCTTGGTTTCAATTTTTTAATGCAGTTAGCTTCCAGTTCCTGTTTATTATTTTCATAAAAAGTATAGAAGTATTTTCAACAAGAATTTTTTTGAATTGCAATTGTTGACAGGTACGCCGTTGTAAATGTTTAGAAATGTTGGACATATCATTCAAATGAAAACTCAACCACCGAGACAACGTTGCCGTAGTGTGTCCAACATAAATATTATTTTTACCGTTGGAGATACAATCCCACAGAGGAGGTTTAAATTTATAGACAACTTTAGTAGGTCATTGCGAATGATTGAACTAGATATACTAGATTTAGTGTAGTATATAATTAATTTTTTTTTTACTAGGATCTGTGATGGATATATTAGAATTTATTAATTTTTTAGGATATTTCGTCTAATTAGAATGTATTTGATTGCGATATAAAAGATTAACATATTTTGGCTTAGTTGAAGCAGTATTATATTCTATTTGCTTTGTATTAAAATTTCTGATAGAGTATTTTATTTGTTCATCAACAATATAATTAGAAAAGTTATTATTAATAAGAGTGTGTTTTATATTTTCTAATTCGCTGTAGAATATATGTTTTGTGGATGAATTAATTTTTGCACGATTTATTAAATTTTTTATAATTGCTATTCTATAGTAATTTGAACATTCACTCTTATAATTAATAGTGCACAAATTAATGCAGGTAGTTTTTTTTTATATGGGGAGATATTAAATTTATTGTTATTAGTGTTTATCAATATATCTAGAAAATCAATTTTATTGCTATTATTATGTTCCTATGTAAAATAAAGGACATAATTATACTGGAATTGCTTTTGGAGTTGATGTATTTCTTCTGTATTCTTGACTAATAAGAATATCATCGACGTATCTTATGTAGATGGTTATTTTAAAATTGTTACATTTATTATTTTCAACATTAGACATAGAGAATTAGCTAAAAGTCGGACCCAGAAGTGAACCCATGGAGACACTATCTCGTTGTATATATATATATATTATTTTTGTGATCATAGAATTGGACTTCCGTAACTGTAGTTTCCGTAATACACTAGGACTAATTTTAAGTGGAAGTAGAGATGGACTATTGTATATGTTTCTTATAATAATATCAATAGTTTCACTAACAGGGACATTAGTGAATAAATTTTCGGCGTCAAGTGAGACTATGATTTCATTGTTAGTTTTTTTTTTAGAATTTGAATTAATTAAGTTAGTCAGTTATGCGTGATACACGCTTAGATGATCATGTATCTTTCGATACATGTCTGACGAGGCAGATTTTTTCCCCGCAGTAGGTTGCCATTTCTTTCTGCGGTAGACCAGTTGCCATCCAAGGTTACAGAATCTGGGCTGTCCTGCTATTTACCCATAGCTGGCGGGGGGGAGAAGAAGATTCATACCTTTCTCAAGGGTATTAGCACGTAATTCAATGTAATGGATTCGACTGGAATTCGAACTCTGCTCTCCGATTCCTCAGTCCATTACTCTTAATTTCAGCAGTTCAGACCTTTCTAACAAGTCAGTCAGTTAGTGATACACGCTTAGGCGATCATGCATCTTTCGATACATGTCTGACGAGGCAAATTTTTTTGGCCGCAGTAGGTTGCCATTTCTTTCTGCGGTAGACCAGTTGCTATCCAAGCCTATAGAACCAGGTCTGTCCTGCTATTTACCGATAGCTGGGGGGAGAAGAAGAGGATTCATACCTTTTCCAAGTGTATTCTCAAGTAAGTAAATGTAATGGAATAGAATGGAATTCGAACTCGGCTCTCCGATTCCTCAATCCGAGCCACTATCTATAAGTTGATTTTATGCTATATTTGCTGGGAAGGTATGGTGTGATAAGTTGGTTGATGATTTTTGTTAATTGATACACAGGAGTGGGAATTTGCGATGCAACAGGACGGAGAAGATAAATTTGTTTGTGTGTTTTTATAGTGCCATATATGTAACCGAGCCTATGGGCATCTCGCCGTGGTGTAATGGTTAGCAACCTTGTCTCGCTAGGACATATTATGACTGAGTAGTGAGTTCGATTCTCCCTGGGTGCTCCATACTTCCGGCCTTGTGCCACATCTAAGCAGCGCTTGAAAATCACTATGTAACCGGGCCTATAATCACCCACAATTTTAGGAAGTTTAAACTGTCCTGTTCGGCATTATTAGCGGTGATAAGTTTATTAATTTAATTGATTGGTTCGAATCCTGTTAACATTTTTAAATTTTGTTTGGTCATTGCGTATTTGTTGGAGTTTTGTTTTATAGTCCGATTTGCTTAAGACAACAAAGACGTTAGTTTTGTCCGCTTTTTTGACGATTATATACAAATGATTACGTAGTTCCTTAGCGATTACATATAAATTAATTTAAATATAATTACAAACATTTATTGATGTCACATGAGAAAAGATTACGAAAAAAAGAAAGAAAGAAAGTAATCAGAAAGAAAGAAAGAAAGAAAGAAAGAAAGAATAGATTTTGAAAGAAAGAAAGAAACGCAGAAAGAAAGACAGAAATTTTAAAAGAAAGAAAAGAAAAGAAAGAAATTGAAGAAAGAAAGACAGAAAAGAAAGAAAAAAAAGAAAGAAGAGATTTTGAAAGAAACAAAGAAGGAATATTGGAAACGCAGAAAGAAAGACAGAAATAAGAGATATGAAAAGAAAGAAAGAAAGAAGAGATTTTAAAAGAAAGAAAGAAAGCAGAGATATTGGAAGAAAGAAAGACAGAAATAAGAAAGAAAGAAAGAAAGAAAGAAAGAAAAGATTTTAAAAGAAAGAAAGAAAGCAGAGATATTGGAAGAAAGAAAGAAAGAAAGAAAGAAAGAAGAGATTTTGAAAGAAGCAAAGAAGGAAGGAAACGCAGAAAGAAAGATAGAAATAGAGAAAGTAGAGATATTGGAAGAAAGAAAGAAAGAAAGTAGAGATATTGAAAGAAAGAAAGAAAGAAAGAAAGAAAGAGAGGCGAGGCTATGAAAGTGTAAGTCTAGACACATTTCCCGCTTCGTTTATTCGCCTCGTTTGTTGTTGGCGTCCTTATCCTGAGACACAATCGTTGGGGCGGGGTAGGGGGATAATAGAACAAGCGCCCTCTAGCGACACGAGCCGAAGATGAAAATACATAGAAAAACGAATACTATGGGGGGGAAAATAGTTACACGACTGGGTAGTTCGCAT